CGATTTAATCCAATACTCTTACTTCTTTTTAATAGTCATATTAATATTGAAATAGTTTCGAGTATACGCTCTGTAAAATATATATATATAAATACATTTATGAAGGTCACGATGCTGCGTCTGTAATTATTAAAGAAAACGTAGATAAAACGATAATACATGACGAAATTGAAGACTTTATTGAAGCTCGTTATGTCGGACCGGTGGAAGCAAGTTGGCGCATTTTAAGCAAACCTTTACAAGAAACAAGTCATGCAATATTTCGTTTACCGATTCATTTACCAAACGAACATAGTATAATAATTGATGATAATATTAATAATGATACGATAAGATCTGCTGCAGAACGAGTAACAATGTTGTTAGATTATTTTGAATTAAATGCTCGAGATGAGGAAGCAAAACAATATTTATATAGTGATATTCCATTTCATTATGTATTTAAAAAAGTTACAATTAACGGAAAAATCATTAATCGCTGGGAAAAACGTCAAAGATATTTTAATCGTATTGGTCGTATGTATTCTGTCAGTCCGTCTCAGATAGAATTGTTTCATTTACGTGTACTTTTACTACATGTTAAAGGAGCAACGAATTTTCAAAAATTAAGAACAGTTAATAACGAAATACATCCAACTTTCGTCGCCGCATGTTTACACGGAAAAAACTATTCGGTTATAGCAACCAGAAATATTCAGTTGGTACGGATTCAGTTGCAGTAGCATCAAGTCTTTTTGCACTAATTGAAAGACTGTTTACACCAACAAATGCTTTCGGTTCGAAGAATAAAAAATTTCTGTTACTAATGTGCTGTTACCACAACAGAATATTCAGCTATAGAGAAAAGAAAACTCGTTTTTAGCAACGAAAAATTCTGTTAATTCAATTTCAGTTGCAGTAACATAAAGTCTTGTTACACTAACTGAAAGCCTGTTCACATCAACAAACGCTTTCGGTTGTGGGAACCGAAAATTTATGTTGCTAATGAATAACTGCATTACAGTTTTTATTGCAAAGATTTTGTTTCAATACCATCCTTTAAAGTCCCGCTTCGGGTTTCGTTCTGTAAGATAAACGGTATTTATATATTCTGTAAGATAAACTGGACCATATTTCGAAATATGCGGTGTGGTGTACGCGTCGCATGAGCGGCATGAGTTGTACGCGTCTGCACGCGTTTCGTCATCTACGTCGCCTATTGGCCCGTGCGCATTGGGAGTGATTCGCGTTTGTTCCCGCAAGGAAATTTTTTAATAAATCGATAGAAGCCTATATGAAATACACACAAAAAAATATATAATATGCAGAAAACAGTAAATGAATATTTACAAGAGTGGCAATTAGAAGCATACTCTAATGTATTTAGAGGTAAGTGAGACTTGAAATATATATATATAAATAGCAAACTATCGTTAAAACCTATTATAACCTATAAACTATTATATCATTTTATCTATTTTGCAATAGATAACACAGCTACGCATTTTATATGTATATTATATTTGTCATAAGACAACCATATTTTTATTCTTTTCTTTCTAGACGCAGGAATTGATGAGGAGACATTTCTGCTTATAGAACCTGAAGATATATACCGATTAATAGACAAAAAAGGACCTCGTATAAAATTAAGGCACAAATTATCTTCATTAAAAGAAGAGTTAAGAAGAAAGGACAACAATAACGAAGTATAAACCGATATTGTGTATATGTATGTGTTTACCAATTTTCTTTTACATATTAATAAATTTTCCTCCTCTTTATTTCTAAGGGAACCATTTCTCACAGTACATTGTCTTGGTCCAATGTAGAAGAAATTTCAATAAATTCCATTCCTTTAAATACAGAGACAGATATTATACAATTTGAGGATATAATTCCTAACCAATGTAGTAGTCCACAATCTTCACAAAATCCTCGCTTATCTCCAGAGCCTAAGAGATCCAAAGTAACAGATGTGAGTTATATTCTATTTTTAAGAAAGAAAATAAAAGAATGTAATTTTTTTCTTTCATTTAAGTATATTGAAAAAGTTGAAGAAATAAATGTGTTTGCGAAAAGTGTTCCAAAAAAAGATCTAAAGCATGAAGATAGATTGAGACTTGCAGAAGCAATTATCAATTATGAATTTAGTGGAGATGTGAATCACATGTGAGTGCAATGTATCAAGTACATGGTTTTAGTTTAAGAATAATTTATATTTTATAGCCAGTAATATTTTGCTAAACGTGTTTTCACTGCCAATATATTTTCTTCCTTGTCTCCACTCAGAATAACTCCAGATCGATTTTTATCTATTCGAAAGGAAATTGAGAAAGCGTTTCCTGATGAAAGCGGAGTAAGCATTGTTATTTTATTATTTTCAAGTAAAAAAATTAAATTTCTAAACTTTATTCTTTTTTGTTTAATTTACCCTTAGGATGTATGGTATGTACCATATTCTAAGGAGATAAAAAGAGGTCCTTTAGGCTGCTTATATGATAAATATTGCTCTTTGAATAGACTATTAGTAAAAAATGGCTTAAGAAGAAGCCAGAGAAGTCCTAAAGATACTGTTACATTAAAAGTGTTGGAAGGTACATATTAAGTAACAAAATGATAGGTTCTAAAATGTATAGATGTTTGCCAAATGTCATAACTATTTTATGAAAAATATTAGTTGCTGAAGAAGTGTCAGAAGCTCTTCAGTGGCTGCACAGCCGGATTCAACTATGGTCTATTGTCTCAGAAAAGTGGACTCTAACTTGTGAAGTTAGGCATCATACTTTAAAGTCTGCCACAGCTTCAAAGCGAGTCGCTGATTATTTTGAAGAATATAAAGTTTTAAAACAGCCTCTAGGTTACGTCCTGGTAAATAAATAATTTTTATTTTGAAAAACTTTCTCTAACATACTATCTCTCTCACACTATCTTTTACAGCCCCCCCCTCTCTCTCTCTCTCTCTCTCACGCTTTAGGGGACTTGTCCCAGAACGTGTAATAAATAACGATTCTGATTCTGATTCTGATTCTCTCCTCTCTTTTTTCTCTTTCTCTCTCTTTTGCTCCCTCTCTCCCTCTCTTTCTCTTTTATTAATAGTATATCTGTATAACAATTTATTTATTAATATGACCTAAAACATGGTGTTCTCACTTAATTGTGGAAGGGGGGGAGGGGACGGGATACTTAAATCGCGTATCGACAGTTCTGTGTATGGCCGACAACCCTAATCAGCGCACAGTTTAAAGTCGAAAAATAGACGCGAAGACAACATATTTATACTGTTATTGCGACAAATATTACCACATGCCTCAGTGGTCGAATTAGTAAGACGCCCGCCTAGAGTGTAGGGAAATTCAGATTCAAACCCTGGCTGAGGTAATATTTTTCGCAATAAATTTTCTGTATTATTAAAAATGCCAGATATGGTCAAGAAAACACTGACATTGTTATTTATTAATAGTTAGAGCAAGACTTCGACCAGTTATATCCACAGTTGACATCAAGATTTTCAACAAAATGGCCTAGCTTTGCTATTAAACTACGGGAAGTCAAAAAAGTTACAAATACAAGTACGTTAATGATCTTACATTAAATATATCTACTTCCTTGTAAACAAAAAAAGAAAAATATTGCTTTTTTAGGTTATTCTGATGTGGCCGCCTTATCTCTTCTACCAAAATTATTCAATGCTTTCAATATTAGTGCATGTGGAGGCGTGCCTCACAGAGTGAATAACCAAGAGATTTTAAACAATTTTATCCTTTTGATAAAGGTTAGCACTGACAATTAATTAAACGTTAATATTCCTTATTTGTGGAAAAAATAGAGAATATATTGTAAATATCTCTATTGGTTACAGACTACAGACGATATTGATTCTGGTATCGAAAGAATAGAAAATGTTGCCCTGCAAACTAAACAAAGTGTTCAGCCGTTTGTTCTACTTGTAGGAGAATCATGGGATTCTGTGAAAGACTCTTATGTAGTTATTGATAGGAGAACGTACAAATTAGAAAATCCCATTAGAGCTGTAGAGGTTTGCTTTAAAATCTTTTATTCGCTTCATTGTGCTTATCCTAACTTCAGTAAACCAGTTTGGCTATTAATTCAAGGATATATTTATGAACTGCCGTTTGAGAAAGGGGTCAGCAATACAGCTGTCAGTCGTTGGTTAAAGAAATTTAAAAATTTGTAAAGTAAAAACTAAGATTAATTGCTTTATGATATCTATGTTAAATTAACTACAGTAACATTAATTCTTGGTACTGTATTTATATAGGTATTTGTTTTCACATTTTACTTCCATTGCAACATGCCTCTTTGTTCGGTGTGTAAAATTGATTTTGCCTCTGTGGATGCACTTTATTTACATTTAAAGATACAAGAACGGATTAATGAAAATACAGAATTTAAATGTCAGGAAAGAAATTGTTGGCGGGATTTTGCGAACTGGAAAACATTTCGTAGACATCTCATCCAGAATCATAAATATCCTATTTACGTGCATCCAAGTGGTAATACATCAAATTTCAGCATACCTATTGAAGACATAGAAACAGTTGTTTCTCCTGTAATAACAGGTAATAAAATTGATGATGGAAATGGTGGTGCTTCTATTGATAATGATATTTCACACGATAATAATATTTCTGATATAACAATACAGTTTCTGAAAGAGAGTGTAAGAAATAGTTTAATGACATTTATAAGTAAACTGTATGCAGATCCTAACTTGCCAAGAAAACACATACAGCTACTCGTTGATGATTTATATGAATTTCTCTCTGATATGACGACTAATTTAAAATCATTTATTTTAAATATTCTCAAGAATATCGAATCTGAAAACTTAAAGAATGAAATTGATGAGGCTTTCGCGGTTGTAACAGAGCCATTTCAAGATGTTTCTTCAGAATATCATCGTCTTAAAATATTTCAAGAAATGGGCTATTACATTCCTCCAGAGTCATATGTTATTGGTTCTAGAATTGATAATAAATTCTTTCAGGATAGAATCATAAAAGAAATTGTTCCAGTGACTGCTCAATTTATTCCCATGAGAAAAGTACTGCATAGATTTTTTAGTCTTCCTAGAGTTCTTGAAAAAACTTTAACGTATGTAAAAGAATTGAAAACTCAAAAGCATTTATCGAATTTTGTTCAAGGAGAAATATGGAGAGAAAAAGAATCTAAATTCTTTTTTGGTAAAGATGTGTTACCCATTTTTTTATATTACGATGACTTTGAAGTTAATAATCCTCTTGGTAGTCATGCTGGAATTCAGAAAGTAGGTGGAGTGTATTTTTCAATTCCTTGCATTCCACCAGAGTTCAGAGCAAAATTACAGAATATATTTTTATGTCTTCTTTTTTATTCCTCAGATAGAGATACATTTTCAAATAACAATATTTTTCATATCATAGTAGATGAAATTAATGATTTGCAAAGAGAAGGCATTACATTTGAAATAAATGGTTCAAAAATAACAATTTATTTTGCTTTGGGATTGTTACTTGGCGACAACTTAGCTCTGAATTCTGCGTTAGGTTATGTGAGCTCTTTCAAGGCAAATCACTTTTGTAGATTTTGCAAAGCCTCTAGAATTCAAATAGAAGTAGATTGCAGAGTACGGCCAGAATTGCAACGAAAACCTGAAAATTACATGGAAGATGTAGCACTAATGAATCCATCCGTAACTGGTATTAAGGAATTATCCGTATGGAACAAAGTTGAATACTTTAATATTTATTCCAATTATTCTTCCGATGACTTACATGATATTAAGCTTGGAGTTTTGAAATATGGAATGGGCCATGTTATACACCAGTATATAGTTGTGAAAAAAATTTTTTCACTTCGAACTTTGAATGAGCGAATAGATTGTTTTAACTACAAAAGTAATGGATTAAAAAACAAACCACCACTTCTTTCATCTGATGAAGTTAAGGAGAGAAAAATAAAAATGTCTGCCTCTGAGATGCAGACATTCTTTATTTGTTTCGCTTTTTATGTAGGTGATCTTGTACAGCATGATGATTTGTGGAATTATTATGTAATTTTACGAAAAATAATTAATCTCATTAGTGCGAAAAGTCTTCAGAAAGAAGTAGTTAACATTCTTCAAGCATTACTTGCTGAACATCATAGACTGTATCAAGAATTATTTGCCGATACATTAAAAGCAAAATTTCACAACATGTTACATTATTTCCAAATCTTAATTATGTCTGGACCACCCTATCATTTAAACTGTCTTCGATATGAATCAAAAAATAGATTTTTAAAATTGATTGCTTGTGCTACAAGTTCAAGAAAAAATATTTTGTACACCATGGCTGTGAAAGAACAGCTTAGCTTATCTTATAGGTTAATGTCTAAAAGAGGTTTAGAAGAACATGTCTCAATGGGACCTGCTTCTCTTATTAATGATGTATCTTATTTGGATAATTATCATTTATTTTCATCGTCTTTACCTACAGAATTTAAATCGCGAAGTATGGAAGTACCTTGGATAGAAAAAATGGGAATAAGATACAGCATTAACAGTTGTGTGGTTCTTTCAGTTGATTCAGAGTTTTTACCAATATTTGGAATAATTCATAATATATTCTGTAATATAATTGGACGTATATGCTTTGTATGCAAGATATGGACCAATGTAGGGTATGATGACAAACTCTGCGCATTCGAAGTGTCACAAAGCGAATTTTACACATGCTGTTTATTAAATGATTTACATAGTCCGTTTTCTGCCATTTTTCATCAAATGCCAACTGGAGATTATTATGTTTCTCTATGAAGTTCCACTTAATTATGTACAGCATAATTAAATGTTTGTAATATTTAATATTTATAATTATGGTTGAAATATGTATTCTCTCTCTCTCTCTCTCTCTCTCTCTCTCTCTCTCTCTCTCTCTCTCTCTCTCTCTCTCTCTCTCTTAATAAGTATAATCATTATAAGTTTGTTAAATTTATAATATATTTGTATATTATAAATTGATAAATAAATAATCGGTTCCTTGTATGACGTTTTATATTTTATTTTTAGTATAAAAAACACGAAATTCATTACAGTGTAAGCGCCTTTTTAGAACCTGGTACAGATGGAGGTGGCCACTTGAATTATCATGTGAATCCGTATTCCGTATTTACCTCCAGACCACCTCCATTTGTGCCAGGGCGTTTACACTGTAATTGATTTATATCTTAAAAGGACCGAGTTAAAAATTTAGACGAAATTAATTGCACAAATGACGGAAACTATATTTCTAACCAAAAAACTCGATAGCATGAACTGCTATTATGGTTGGTATATATGAGAATAAATGCTTAGAGCAGCAGAAAGTTCGCTTCCACTATCAAAACATTTGATAGTATGAACCGAAATATTTTGTTGCAATAAACGAGACTCTTATCAGAAGCAGTATCAAAACTCGGTTAAGATAACCGAGTACAATTGTCTCAGCAACGGAAATCTTCCAGAAGAATTTTTCTGTTGCTACAACCGAGTTTTCGTCTGGTTCCCAGAGAACAGAAAATTTCGGTTGCCACAACCGAAATTCGGTTGCACGAACGGAAAATTTTTTTCCGTGT